GCGCGGCTGCGTTCTGGACTAACTGGAGTCTTCGAACACTCTTCAAGGGCAGCCCCATGTAGAGCGCATGACAATAATCCAATAATTTTGATATTTTGAAAATGCTGCACTCTTGACTTTTCTCAGTGGTTGGAACTACAAGGAATTTTTATTGGAACCTTCAGTAATTACAGTAAGGCAATTGTAATTTTTTATTTATTTATTTATTTATTTATTTATTTTATTTATAAAATTTATATGCCGCCCAATCCCGAAGGACTCCGGGCGGCTTACCAAAAAAAATGCAGTTACTGGACTCCAGCACTCTTCACCAGATCCTGGAGAGAGGTTTTTACAAAGGTGTCACATTAGGCTGTATACGTTCCATTTATCAGTCTGGGATCCGCATTGTAGTTATGGGGGTAAAAAGTGTACTCAGTCCACTTTTTAATTATCACTCAGAATTAAAGTAAAATCCAAGGTTAACAATGTAGCTGATCAAAAAGAAAGAAAAACCCAGCTGCTCACATCTGGGTCTCATCAGCTTATAGTCTTGATGACAAACTATTAAAATGAATTATGCTCATATAGAAAGATCAACTTCATGTCAGATATTACTCCAAAGCAAAAAAAAAAGGTATGAATTTTTACCAGATCTCCATTTGTTCAATGGTTTGATGCAGTTGGTTAGCTGAAAAAAGGGGAGGAAAGAGGAATGAGAGAATGAACATAAATCTGTACATTACAAATTATAGAAACAAAAATGCTTGGTAATCATTAACAGAAATAACAAACAATTCCATCATTTTTATTTTATAAATAGTATTTTGAAGGCATGCACTGGCAAACTGTTTTTACAATGAACTGCTGGAGAAATCTCAATTGGCTGGATTCATGCAATATGTTAAGTTACAGACCATGGTTTACAAATCACAAAGATGGGTTGACACAAGATGCCTAGCCACACTCATATAAATGGCATTGAGACCTAGTGCACTGGATGAACTATCTATGAGACTAGGACAGTGATGGCTAACTTTTTCTGGACCGAGTGCCCAAAGTGCACACATGTGCCCAAACCCCCCAAATGCAATACATATTCCCCACCCCCACACATGTATGCACCCCACCCCCACACATGCACCCCCTCCTGCACCCCACCCTCCTGCGCATGGACGCATGCCCCCCCGCATGCCCCCTGCACATATGTGGCAGAGACCCAAAGACCAGCTGGCCGGTGGGAGGCCCGTGCACATGCGTGGCGGAGCTGAACTGCGGTGATGGCTTGCATGCCATCAGAGAGGGCTCTAGGACTAGGATAAATATGTGAGCAATAGGTGACCCTCTTTCATTCTGAGCCTGAGAAAATGACCCACTGTTAGAATTTCTCGCAAGTCCCTTGCATAAATATTTATTTGGCATGAGGCAAAGAGAGCACAAGAGAATTTGCTTCCTTCCTTTACCGTCAGTTTCCATAGAACTCATTTGTATTTTTCTTGGTAGAATGAAAGTATATCTCTCTATGCGTGTGGTTGCTCTTGACTAAGTTGCATCTCCCAATGTTTATGCTTATTTATGCAATGGGAAGTCCAGGACAGAATGGATACACTCAGTTCTGGATTACATCATTGGGGGGTGGGGGGAGAAGGAAAGCATTACAATGGAACAGTCATAGCATCTTTCTAGGCTGCTGCCCAAAGAGATTCAATGGGATCTCTTTTTTTCCCCCCGCTCTATATTCCCCACTTGATCCAGCTCACTTGTCAACTCTCTTTCTTTTGCTGTCTTCTTTCCACAGACTAAGTCTGGCCCCATTCTGTTGAGTTGTCAGAGTTTCTCTTCTGATGGAGAGCCCCAAACCTCTCTACCTAATGTCCTCCCAACATTGTGTTGGGTTAAAAATAAGAGAATTGCGGTGCAGGATTTCTGTTTTATGATTAACAATCATAGCCTGGTATTTTTGGCCTATATTTAAAATATATCACCTTAATTTCATCAGGACTCTGCAATCAAAACTAGGAGCATCCTTTCGATATTTATATTTATAAACAAATATAAACAAATAAACAAAATTTGAAAAATTAAAACATTTTAAGTCAAGGTAAGATGCAAGGAAAGGGGCATACCTAGAAACATTTAGATTTATCACAGGCGTAATTTGATTAAAAAATCCTGCAAACACACAAAAATATGTTTGCCAATAACAGAAAAGTCTCCAGTAGTACCAATTATTCCACTTTTCAAGTATTTGAAAAGCTGGTTTTAATACATATCTGATTCCAAGACACATACTGAGTATTCCAGAAGCTGAAGAGGCCCAAAGGTAAAACTTTGGCATGGCTCAGAACAAGCTAAAAACATTTCACCATATCCTGGCATCTACTTCTTGAAATCTTTGTGTTCCACATGATTAATTATGAACAGAAATCAAGTAAATTCAAACAATGAGCCTTAATTCAAGTTTGTTGTGAGAAACCTCATGCCAATATACTCTGATTTGATGTTTATAAATCCCATAAAATATATCTTTTTTAAACGATTCTAGAAAATGTTAACAACATCTTCTTCAACATTTTTCTTGCCAGAATCTGACCTCATTACTATGATGGTGTAAGTTCAAATTAATACCACAGACCCAATATAGAACCATTCTTAAATACGTCAGAGTAGCTGGCAGTCTAAAACCAATCTCTTCAATGCATAATATTCCAAAGCAGCCTTTCCCAAATCAATCCCACTTTGATATGCTGAGATTCCAACTCCCAGAATTCATTATCCCTGTGATGGCAAATATATGGCACATGTGCCACAGGTAGCATGCAGTCCCCTCTCTGTAGGCATGCGAGCAATCACCCCAGTTCGGCTCCACCAGGCATGCATGCGCGCCTCCCACCAGCCAGCTGGTCTTCAGGTCTCTGCAGTGAATGCGTGGGGGGGTGGGTGTCAGGGATCCTGCATAGGGGCGTGCGCATGTGCGGGGCAGGGCATGTGTGTGTGTGGGTCACATGCACATGCGTGGGGTGCATGCATGGGGTACATGCACAGGGTGCATGCGCATTGCATTTTGGGGGTTCAGGTGCACTTTGGGCACTCAGTCCAGAAAAGCCATCATTGCCCTATCCTATTTTTCTAGTTCTGAATATTATGGCTGGAGAATTTTGCAGTCACATGGAAGACTGTTCTGGAGCACACAAACACCTGATCAAATTGCTAATGCAGGTCTGATAGGCGGATATTTTCTGTCCACTCTTGTCATGGAGGACAAAACAGAAAACACCACTTATTTTGCTCACTGCATTGCTGGGTTAATAGCTATTAAAATTAAAAGCCTGATGCAACCATGGAAGTTGTCTTAGAGAGAAAAGTAAGAATAATGTTGTTGTCTCACAACCATGATTTTTCAGTTCCTCTCTGTGCTGTCAAGGAAGACAGAATGAGAGTAGGTTGGTGAATGGAGTCAGGAGCTCTTAGGTTTTGAAATAGCCCAATTTGTGGTTGACTTTTTTGTTCAGGCTTGAAATATTGAGCAACTCAGTCTCCCCAAGTAACATTTTATTTTTCTACAATAAGAAGCATCTATCTGATCTGCAATAATGGGCAGTGTTGCACAGGAAATAATAATGGGGATAACTGGACAAAATGTTAAGCTAAGTTATACCGTGATTGTTTATTACATAAAATCAGGTCATACAAACACAAATGAGGCACGGGGAATAAATGATTCAATTGCCTGAATCTTGAAGGTTTGTGGTTTAAAACAAACAAATCACCCAGCTGATGAAGAGCAAGTCCACATATTTTAATATGATAACTGATCTGAAAACAAAATACTATTTTTACAGCAATATACCTGACTCCAAGAACATCTGCATAATATTTTGGTTAATATGAAACAGAGGAGAAGAGCCGAGGTGGCGCAGTGGTTAAATGCAGCACTACAGCTACTTCAGCTGACTGCAATTCTGCAGTTCGGCTGTTCAAATCTCACCGGCTCAGGGTTGACTCAGCCTTCCATCCTTCCGAGGTGGGTAAAA